TTATCTCATTCTTAGGCCTATACCAAAGAAAATAAATCAAAAATATAGTCAATATATTATTAGGCCTATATCATACCAAGTCTCACGCATCCGGCGTGAACCTCACGTTTTTCGAACAAACCTCAAGCCACTCCTCTAAAATCTTGCGCTTTTCCACTATAATCTCAAGCTTTATTTGATTAAACTCAAACTTTTTATCAAATAATATAAACCTTCGCAATTCTATATTTTATCAGGCCCAGATGATCGAAAATTCTATCGTTCCTGTTATAGCTACTCATTTTTAAGGTTTAATTTCAGCACTAGAGATATTCAGAGTACCCAGAGAGCATCTAAGCCCAAACTTTTTCGGGGCCCTTGGACGGGCCCTCGACTCACGTCAATTGGGTTATTTCCTGTTAATTCTCAAGCCTCTAGCTATCTCCAACTTGGCATGTATTCTATATTCCAACATTAATGAGTATTTGGATTCTTTCTTCCATAGATCGATGAACTGATAGGCCTGAAGAATACACTTTCGTACATAATTATTACGACGTCGAGCCAAAACAGTGTTTCTTAAGTATTTAATTGAATGCTAGTGGGGCTAAGTCTATATATATATAATACGCATACTTTATAAAACATAAATTAACCTAATTTTCTGATAAACAAATTAAATAACATTAATTAAATGAAATATATTTAATGATATAGGCTTATTTGCTACCATCAACCGTAACACAAAATTTGAAATAAAAGTAGGCGTACGATGACATAATTAATGTCGAAATATTGAATCCCAACACGATGGCGTGTATTTCAATACTTGGAGTATGTATTATACTTGCTTATCTGATATTAATCAGTGGACCTTTCAGTAGTAGGCGTATCGTAGAAGAGAATCACTAATGGGCATTGACCTCCGAAGTACTGTAGAATTACAGAAATAATAGAGTGTTTTTTGTGGATGAAATATGGGTATATAGAACGACTAGGAAAAAGGTGTGATATCGAAATTCCAAAAAAGGAAACATGTTATATAAAAGATACCCTGTTTTCTTTCCTGTATTTCTCATGTAAAACCGGATTTAAACTTTCAAAACGTTTCTACAATGTGTATTTAGGCTTCATTAATACGGTATTGCGAATGCATCAATACTCAATCAGTCAATTGATTAAATAACGCTTTTGTGTCATCGGCACACCTTTTTAGTGTAACCTTACAATGACTAGATATTAATTAAATGATATAGAGAAAACACAAAAAAAATGTTTTCATAAAGTATAATAAAAATAACATGATGGAAAAAAAATCAATAGGAAAACTAGGAGGAACAATGCATCAAAAAATGAAGG